AAGAATTTGTGGAACTGTTGAATTCAGGGCACTGGAGGAGGAAGAGCTTGGATCTGTCTGGCACAGTTTTTGCCATGCTTGGATTTTATAACTTAAAGCTCAACTGCCCCATCCCTGGAAGTGTCCAAGGCCAGGCTGGACGGGGCTTGGAGCAACCTGGGATCGTGGGAGGTGTCCCTGCTCGTGACAGGGGGTTGGAATGGGATGTTCCTCCCAGTCCAAACCATTCTGTGATTCCACAAACTTTGAGTTATCCAAACCAACAACTTTCACTGCTTTTCCAGCTTCTGACTTTTTCCCAGCCTTGAATCCAACCATCCTGCCCCACTTGCCTGTTAAATAGCTTAATAAAACAAACGAACCTAATCTGTGGCATTTTTCAAACTGCTCTGAATGTCTTCCAGCAAACTCCTCTCCTGCTTCTCTATTTCACTTGTTCCCCAGCAGGGATAATTCTTTCTATTCCCAGCTCAAACCTCTGCTGGTTTATTGTAATCTTGGAGCCAAGCCCTGTATTACACACTTAATATTCCCTAGTCCTGGATATAAAGTGACACCGGAGTCGTGGAATCCATTATAAACAGGTTTCATCCATAATGGAAGAACAAATTGCTAAATGGTTTTTTTTCTCTGTGTTTTTTAAACTTGATTAAGTTTGAGGGTTTAATTAGATTTTCGTGGCGATTTTAGGGCTGGTAATTTAGAGCGGAGAAGATGAAATGCAAAATACAAACGGATTTGGTAAATTAGTGTCACAAATTAAGCACAGTGATTATTTTTTTTTACCCATAAACACGAGTTTTCAAAGCTCGTGCTCAGGTGAAGTTTTAATTGAGATGTTTTAGAGGCCGAATTTTTTTTGTGTGTGCGCGTTTTTATTATTATTATTTTTTGTTCTGAGCTAATCCTGAATTGTTTCTAATTAGGGCCACGGTTCCATTCGCCTGGATATTTATTCCAACGTAATTTGTTTCAACTTAGCCAGCACAGGAGTGATGAATTCCTTTCATTACATCCAAGTCTCTTTGATGGGCTCTGTCTGGCTAATTATTCACAGGGAACACATTCCTAATGGCCTCAGAGTAGGCAGAATTTCCTGAAAATAAATAGTGGCTTTCGGAATACACGGACAAAAGTCAGTTTTCGAGGGGTTTCTTTTCATCTTCAGACACGAGGGAATGAAAAGGGAAGAACTTGGAACATGTTTCTGCTCCTGCACTTGTGGGTTTGCTTAAATAATATCAAATATCAGGCTGCAAAGGGTTTCATCCCACAAAGGGACTCCCCTCAGCCCCTCGCTGGGTGACAGGAAAACCAGTCCTAAACTGTGTTGGCAGAACTGGCAGCTGTGAGAATTCACGTTTCCAATGATAAAGGAAACATTTTTGGTTTGGGAGATGTCCAAGGGCAGTTTTTTGCAGCTTTCCAGGGATATTTTCCAACATATGTGACCCCCAGCACACTCATGGATGTTTCCTGTTTCTATATATCAATATGTAGAAAATAGATGAGATATATATGCATTTATAAAAGGTGGGTTTGTAATGCACAGCTCACCATTGCAGACCTTCATGTTTTTAAGAGCATATTTTATGTTTATAACCAGTGTGGAAAGGGCAGCTAAAACCCACCAACCACCTCCCTGGGCCTGCCATGGATGGAATCACTTTTTGGGGAGAGTGGGGACTCCTTGCAGGTTACTTTTGGTACCGTCAGGGGCTCGGAACAGATGGAATTGTCAAGGATAAGAAAACTGTGGAGCAGGTTTCCCAGAGAAGCTGTGGCTGCCCCTGGATCCCTGGAAGTGTCCAAGGCCAGGTTGGAGCAACCTGGGAGAGTGGAAGTTGTCCCTGCCCATGGCAGGGGATGGAATCAGATGAGCTTTAAGTTCCCTTCCAACCCAAACCATTCTGTGACTTTATTCTCTGTGGATCTTCAGCTCCTTCTGACGTGACTGGGAAGGTGGGAAAATACCACCCAACACGGTCCAGGACAATCCAGAGGGTGGAGAACAAGCCAACTGCTCTAAAATGGACCAAACCCCAATGAACCTCACCAGAAAGGTGTAATTCCCACCCGCTTCACAGGTGGCACAAAA